AGGTGTGGCGATAAAGATCTTGCTCAACCCAGGGCCCACATAGCTCCCTTCACTGGCAATGGGACCTCCATATCAGTGAAAATTCTGAGAGGGACGTTAAACAGATAGATCTCAATCAATCTACTTTCCTATTGTAAGCATTATGTTTGAAACAAGTTAGAACAAATGTTAATAATTGATTTATCAAAAGAAAATTTTTATGCCCCTTTTTTTATTAATTTACAGATATAGATTATTTATAAGTTGAAAATAAATTAAAAAATAGTTCTGTGAAAATCACATATTTTCATGGGGTTAAATTTTCAAGGTTTAAGGAAAAATTAACTTTGCAGGACTTGATTCTGTGATTGGAGGATGTTTAGTAGCAATGTATATGACATTTTCATTTTTTGTAGAGGTCATAAATTTGTTGGTCTTTCCATGCCTCAAAAACAACATGTATTTGATAATATGTGGATGAATGTTATGTATTTATGTATACAAAAATTAAACTTCTGTTTTTCCCACGTGAAATAGTGATTTCACAGTATTTCACAGTATTTCTTTACAAAATATATTTTAAAATAATTTTCGCAAAATATATATATGCTACAGTGTCTAAATTTGATATATGAGAGTATGTCTTAAAATTGATTATACTTTACCAATAAATATGATTCCCTTTTTATGGAGAAGTTCTGGTAACTTGGGATTCTCTGAAGCATGGCCCCAGCCTGCCCAAACAGCTGAAAAACAGAAGATAATTATAGATTCTTACATTGTATACATGAATACATTAATTTCATAGGCATCTTATCAATACATGTACTAGAATACCAAATATAACGGAATATCAAATCTGAGTAGTTTTTTCAGGAGATAGGATGTATTTAAAAATATAATGTTCAAGTGACATTAAATTTACTATTTAATGATTCTAAATTTTTCAGATATTCAATAAGCTCAGGACTCTCTATGATAATGTGACCTAACCACAAACCAGGTTTGAATATTTACCTGTACTTGAGTTCTCTTGGCTATATCCAGGATAAGTTCTACATTGGCGTAATTATTGTTGTTTGTACCGCCCTGTACTGGAACATACTGGTCTGCTAATCGGATGTATTCTGAAAGTCAAAACAGATGAAAATTTCATTAAAACAAAAGGAAAAGATTAATCTTGGGAAAATGCACAATGAGAAGTGAAGACGTATATCAATTATCATTACATTGGAGATAACAAACTCAGAAAATCAACAAGAGGCCCACGGGCCTTATAGGTCACCTGAGTATCATGTAACAACTTTTCAGCGATTGTATTTGGCTTGTGTTTTAATCCAAAAGCCATGAAATTCACATATTTTGAAGGAGGCACCATTGCTTATCAAAGGGCAGATTTCAAAGCATTAATTGATTTTCAAAGTACCTCCCTGGTGCCCCTGACCCAGTGGCCCTGAAATAATCTATTTTGAAAGAGGCCCCTTTCTTCATTATAAGTAAATTAATAAAAAAAGTCCCGAAGGAGACGGAAATAAAAATTTTCTTTTGATAAATCAATTATTAACATTTGTTCATTCTTTTTTATGCTATTCTAATACTAGTAGGCTCCTTTACCACTGGACACATAATGCTTACAATAGGAAAGTAGATTGATTGATTGATTGTATACTGTTTAACGTCCCTCTCCAGAATATTTCACTGATATGGAGACGTCACCATTGCCGGTGAAGGGCTGCAAATTTGGGCCTATGCTCGGCACTCAGGGCCATTGAGCAGGGAGGGATCTTTATCGTGCCACACCTGCTGTGACACGGGGCCTCGGTTTATATGGTCTCATCCGAAAGACCGCCTCATTTAGTCGTCTTTTACGACAAGCAAGGGGGTACTGGATGCTACCATTCTTAAACCGGATCCCCACGGGCATAGGAAAGTAGAACATTTAATTGCTTATTTCATCATCTACCAGTTTGGACCAGTTATATAAATGTTGTGATGTTGATCAAAATATAATATTTTTAAAAATCAATTCTTTAAAAGTCTCTCAATATATCTTCATATTTTGAATATGTGTTATGTAAATGTGTAGACAATGTTCTAAAATGTTCTTGATGCCTAAAATTATAATTCCTACACTGTATCATAAAACAGACAGGGAATATATTGGGGAGTAGGGTGAACATTTGTTTTTCAATTAAGTGTAAAATAATTTTTCTGGCTGATACAAATGCCCAGATAGCATGACGCCGTTGCCTGTACGAAATTTAAGTCACGTATTTTTAAACAAATCCAGGTGTATTTTAATTTAAAAAATCCTTGTGGAAATCTCTATTGAAATGAATATATAAAACCAGGCGTATAATGTAAAATACGGGCGTACACGAGGCGTAATCCTCCCGTATTTTTGGCCGAAATATGCAAATGAGTACGCCTGGAAATTCAAAATACCTCTGGAAATTTTAAAAATAGAATTACGCCTAGATTTCAAGGATACCCTTAAAAATACGCCTGCAAAATAAATACGCCCGTATAAAAAAATACGCCTGTACAAAAAAATACGCCTGTACAAAAAATACGCCTGCTTTAAATAGATTTGAATTAAATATTATATTACAGCTATGGGAGTTACAACAATAGCATGAATATAAATGTACAATCAACTTTTAATCAGTACAAATATTTTTAACTACATGTTAAAAAGATTAGACAAATTAAGCTTAGCATACATCATTTTTATTTTCTTAATATTTTTCAGTGTGATAAACATGATAAAATGTGAAATGAGATTCAAATAAAGGATTGCCATTAAAATTCAAAAATCATAATCTTACATTTACTATTTCAAATCACAGTTACATGTTAGAATAATTATTAACCGTTTCACAGCATTTTAACATCCAAGGCTGAGTTTTATAGTAACAGTTGAAACACTCCAACAATCACAATGAAACACAGTTTTGAGAATCATGTCGATTAATCCTGTCATTCTCTTTACTCCTAAATTGGCATAAAAGATGCAAATCACAAGCAATTCTGTCATTCACGTTTCACATCACATTCCCCAATCACATTTTCATAGATTGAAATATTCACAAAAAGAAGTTTGAATGTTCTATAACTGGCATTGCAAACAATCATATATCTTCCTGATGCAATCTTCCAATGGCTGCAGTTCACTGGCATTGCATTTATGGAAAGCTATGCTGCTGGTCAACTCTTAATATTGCAAGATCTTTCTCCTCCTCTTATGACCATTTCATCATTCAATTAATTTTCCATTTGTAATAAGGATTTAGATGTAAATCACTTTCTGGAAAAAGAAAAACACTAGAAAATAATTTATGTAATTCAAAATACTACTGACCCAATTTTCAATCATTAACATCTGGCTCTGCAAATCAAAAGCAAATGCAGCTGTCTTTTATTTTCATAGACAAATAGTTTCAATGTTAAGCTATGTTTTCAAAATAATTACCTCTTCTACACCCTCTGTGCTTTGTTGTGGCTTTCTCTAATCTCATTGTTCTTGGCATGACCTGCCTGGTGGTTTAAAATTGGCGCAAATACTTGGATGCAGATGCTGTTGTTTACAACCCCCTAGTTAGCTAAACTGTTTTATGATTTCTGGAAGTTCTACTCAGTACAATTTGTAATTTTGAAGAAAAAATGCTGTTTTGTTAACAGAACATAAAAATCAAATTTCATCAATGTATAAACAAGGTGTATTCACTATATGAATTCACTTATTTTAAATGATATTAGGGTGGGAAATAGAACTGCTGTACACAAACCGGATATAAATTGATAAGCCGTTCTTAGAAAGGTTTACAACATTACAGATAAGTCGTTCCTAAATAAACATGCTCAACACATCTGTAAGTAATTAGCACAATCCCAGCAGGTTAGGCTGAGGGAAGTGAAAGTAGATGGTAATGTAATAGTTACTGAATATACTAAATATAAATCAATATAAGAAAAACATTTAATTGATGTGATAACATGTATGTGTATAGCCTGAGACTAAACAAATCATGAAGTTCAAAGAATATACTATTTACTTTACAGTTATCATAGTTATAAAAATCATTTGTGTTAAGAAAAATAATATCAATTTAAAAAAAAGGGGGGGGGGAATGACAAAAGTTCAGGTCCATGGCATAGTAAAGTTCTAAAAAAAAAATCAGGTTAATTTATGAAAATTAATTGCTTTGATATTTAATCCACAAACTAAATACAATATTGCAATGTATATAATCATGCAATACTTTGGGTTTTTTGATTAAGTTATATAATATCATAAAAATGTTTCTTATGCAACTCAATACTTTTAAAAAAAGAGAATGAGTTGACTGTTTTGTGGCTAAGTTAAAAAATCCACCAGAATTTTCAAAAATACGCCTTTTGAAATTTTCTAAGTTTTATTTTCCTTGTGCCAAAGAGACTAAATAAAAAATACACCCGGATTTAGATTTTACGCCTGGAAAAAGGAGACGTATTTCTGGCTAAAATACGTATACGCCTGAAAATGAACCGTATTTTTAAGAATACGTCTCTTGTACGCCAGGATTTGCAAAAAATCCAGGCGTAATACGCCTCTGAATTTCGTACGGGTGGGCCAACGTTGGTTTTTGGTTGTATGGTTGGTGGAGTGTTGGCGTTGGGGAACAGATGTAGGCCCAACGTTGGTCCAACGTTCATATACGTTGGCATGAAAGGAAAACCAACGGTGTTGGACATGTGATATTGGCCCAACGTTGGTCCAACGTTCATTTACGTTGGCATGAAAGCTAAACCAACGGTGTTGGGCATGTGATATTGGCCCAACGTTGGTCTAACGTTCATCTACGTTGGCATGAAAGCTAAACCAACGGTGTTGGGCATGTGATGTTGGCCCAATATTGCCCCATTGTAGTTACATGTTGATAAGAAACATAGCTATTTGGTGTTGGACATTAAGATGTTGGCCCAACATAGGTCCAACCGAGTAAATGTTGAGTACACGTTAGTGGCAAAACATTGCCACTTATTGTTGGTTATTCAATGTTGGCCCAACGTTGGCCCAGCTTTATAAATGTTGACAATATAATGATGCATTGCTCTGTGTTGGGCGTGCTTGACTGAACTGGAGTTGGTCCAATAGTAGGAATACTGGGATTACTAGTACATGTACAGGTAGCCTGTAATGTTTGAGATGAAATGCTGGTCCAACGTTGGCCCAATGTTGCGAAAAGTATTCATCAATTTAGATTTATCTATTGTAAATCGATGGTAATGTAATAAGCAACTCATTATAAACATGTGATCTATATCATATATTGAATGGAAATTATGAGACAATCCTTATAAGTCTGTGAAATACATATAGTAATTATATCTTGGTAGATTCTATATTTAGCATCATTGAATCAAATTTAAAGTGCTGTGTTTTGCAAGTTTTGGGCTCCAAAATAAATAGGTCACTGGTGAAATTCACTTGCTCGGCAGGTGACTCATAGGTCTCCAAGGAAACCGTCATCTTTAACCGCGCACTTTAACAATTCAAAGCGTATGTGTCTGTTTAAGTGAAAGCAAGAATTTTAATCCTTTCAATGTAAGTATAGCTTTTGTTTTTGTTATTGAAATAATTATTAATGTGAAATACACAACATTGTAATGGCCTGCATGTAGGCTTTCAAATTATTGGTACCAGGTAGCTGATTAAACAATTGTAATTGATGACGACCTTAACTTTTATAGGAATTGGCGGGCTTGAACAGAGCAGATATGTCCGGATCTGTAAATGAACGCAAGAATGTTAACCAGTGAAATGTAAGTAACTATTTTGTATTTGTTATTAATAATTACTAATGTTTAATTCAATTTTAAGGATTGCTTTAAAAATATGTGTGATGCTGATGAACATTTGAAAATACTATTTTAATTGATGACAATCTTAACGTTTGCAGGAATTGCCGGGATGGAAAAACTATGGCACGCCGATTGGTTCAAAATTATTTTCTGCACAACGATCAAGATTTTTTACACGAGCTAGATGCAAAATATACACGAGTAAAATAAAAATGCACGTATAGGTAAAAATTGCACATAGTTTGAAAGATTTTAACACAAACATAACGAAAAATACACGATTCCGAAATTTTTTGCACGATTTAGGGGTATAATATGCACAAACAAAAAATCAAAAATTGCACGAGCAGAGGAAACTAAAAATTACACAAACAATTTTACTGCGCATACAGCTGCGCATATCATTATTATGCACATAGATTATTCATCGTGTTCTTGGTTTTCTGTACTCTTTATCTACTTAACTGGATGTAATCAAGAATGGAAATTAAATGGCGTTGACGATGGCATGTGCTTTACTTTGCTTTTTTATTTCTTTGCTAAACCCCGATCCGATTTCTAGCTAATGCCAATCGAACAAATGAAGTGTTTCCATGTGATCTGTATGTGAGAATACTTCAAAGTTTTTCAAAATATTATGTTTTTCTTGTATTGACCGAGATCGTAACTAATATATGGAGGTAATATTTGATGACAAAAATTGTGACAAGAAGGAATTGTATAATGCGAGGTAAAAAAAAAAAACACCATTGCATATGATGCTCTCGACTCCGAACTAAAAGTACTGAACGACAGTGCGGCTGACTAGGATCTTGATTTTCTTAAAAAATTGTTAGAATTATTTATTTTTTTTAAATTTAAATAAACTCTCAATAGCTTTTGAAAATTTCTAATCTATAGATACAACTTTAACGGATATTACTTGTATAAATATAAAATTAACACTTGCATAATCAAACGATTAATAAAGTTGATTATTAATTAAAATTGGCAGAATAATTGCTGATTATAATCATTAAGCTGTAGAATTAATTTGGTACTCTTCATTTGTACCTATTTTATTTTCTTTACCACGCGGAATAGGAAATTATATATACCTGTATTCATTTTATTGGATATATATTTTTTTAACTTAAAAAACTTTGTATTACCTTAGATGTACACAGCATGTATTTTGATCTAACGTCAAACATAAAAAATATTTTATTCTAATATCACATGCATTCATACTTATAAAATATCAGGATATCAGTTTTGGTTTGAGATCTTAAGCATTTGTTATGAATTCCTTCCATGAAATCTCATATTTTCAGTTATAACCTACTCAATAAAAACAAGACATTTTTTGTAAGCGTTACCCTCATTCGTAGTGGCGATTGCATGATAAATGTCTTCATTTTAATAAAAAGGACCAGATAAAAGGAGAATATATTTACTCTATGTGTTTTATTTACATGCGCTTTTGTGTTTTGTTACTTTTAAAACATTGTGATTTACTAAGTACATCTATGCGTACAATGTTACAAATAGGAAGCAATAAAAAAAATTAGAATGGATACAGCAGTGTTAAAGAACGTATTTTATCACTCTAAAAATGCAAATAATTTATGTTCTTTATGGAGCTCGGTGTGTGGCAACTATTTTCCAAGACAACAAATTCTGCTTACATTTCAAATTCGACTTCATGATTTTTGAAATTATTTTCCAACCACTAAGTTTCTTGTAATATTACTTTTTTTTTACCCAAATACAATAACGTCATGTAAATGGCCATTATGAAAAAAAGAACATATAATTATGCTTGTATTATTATGAAACGAAATTAATCGTCAATCAGGCCTATAGACCCCCCATCCCCCTCATTTTTGAGTATAGATTTTGCTATAGTAAATTTTCCTTTACATGCTGGTTGACCCCAACCTAACCCCCAACTTTTTAAATGTTGTAATGTCGAGCGCAGGGAAATCCCAGGATATCGTACCCTTAAATTCTTAAAAATATATTTCAGAAGGGACCTGCATCCCCCCCCCCTCGTTTTTTTTTCTTGCAAACAGAACCTACTTCCATTGTAAAATTTCAACTAAAAAGCCCCCTTTTTGTTACTGGATTGGAATTGAAGGTGCCTCGATCACTACCTCAACGAAATAGGATTTTCGAAAATGGACGCTTTACCTTTTTTCTGCTTGTTAATTAGAATGTTTAGGTATAATTTGCCCCCCCCCCCTCCTCACTTTAAAAAGCGATACTAAATGTGTATCAGCATCAGCATAATATAATTTTAAATTGTTTAACTCCTTTACATTCATTTTACCTATTCAAAATAATCTACACTAGAAAAACAGAAATTCACATAAGTAAAACACTGTATAATTTTACTACGAGTTATTTAAAAAAAATGATGGATTCTTTTAATACATGTATTAAAATTAAAGTTGCACAATTATTTATTGTTTTTTTTTTTTACTGTTTACTTCTAAAAATATATCGGGCAAATTCCACAACCCAGATGGCAGCAACATTGCTTCAAAATCTCTGAATGAATTGCTAGTAACCTGCAATCAAAAGATATTATTGATGCGTCAAACAACTATAAATCGATTATCGTACAGGTGTCTTTCATTCCAGCACCAGCAGGGAGCCAGGAATCTCTCGATATGAAAAGGTCACACATCCACAACCTTAATTATTACCATAGTACACACAGTGGGTGATCGAGGAGAAGAGTTTCATTTGTTGTTAACTCTCCTGTATTACCTCAGGGACGTAGCATCCGGGGGGGCCCGGGGGGCCTGGCCCCCCACTTTTTTCCCCAACATAACCTTTACTATAGTAAATGTTCATTGATGGGATGGTTGCCCCCCCCCCCCCCACTTTATAACCATAGTATAGTGATAGCAAGGATTGTAAGGAAAAAAATTGAAATGAAAGTAAGTTGGCTTGAAAAAGTTGGCCACTACTCCCCCCCCCCCCCCACTCATTGATGGGATGGTTGCCCCCCCCCCCCCCCCACTTTATAACCATAGTATAGTGATAGCAAGGATTGTAAGGAAAAAAATTGAAGTGAAAGTAAGTTGGCTTGAAAAAGTTGGCCACTACTCCCCCCCCCCCCCCCCCACGAAATAGGATTTTCGAGTTTGGGCAACTTTTAATTTTCTTTTTTTTCTTTTTTTTTTTGCTTGTCAACTTTTTCAGGTAAGTAAAAAAAAATTTTCTCAGGTTGGCCCCCCACTTTCAAAAACGATGCTACGTGCCTGAACCTCACGCTGTTTTTATTTACTTACCTACCTTTACTATGATATTATCATTGTTTTGAACTTTCAAAAGATATAGCTATATAGAGGAATGACATTAAAAAATCTAACAATTAAAAACGCAACTGATATCCACACACCCCTTTTTACATTTAATATACATGTAGAATGTATTTTTAATAGAGGAGTGTTAATTTATATACATATTGAGTACCTGTCAATTTTTAAATGTATAAAACACAATGTGCATATTCTTGAGAGTCTAGCGTAATTCTGAAAGACTGAATCTTTTTTAAAAGATTGAATAAATATTGTTAACACATTACTCATCCTCTTGTTTTATAACGTTTCAAGCATCCAAGCCACACTGAGCTGTTCTCTAATGAATATTAATGAAATGTGCGCAATGAGGATGCGCCGTATATAATGTCGATGTTGTATTCTCACTTGTGCAGTTTTCGTTTTTACGTTTGTGTAATTTTCTCATTATATCGTGTAAATATTTTCTTGATTGTGTAGTTTTTGTATAGTTTGTATAAATTTCAATAACTTTATGTGTATTTTCCGCACTTTGTGCAAGTTTTGACTTGCTCGTGTAATTTTTGTTTAAGTTCGTGCAGAAAATATTTTTGAACCAATCGGCGTGCCATAAAAAACCCTCTTCACTCTGCGAGTATTGATGTGGCATTTCTGTATATGGAAGGGACTGATTTATATGTGTGGGAAACATGGATTCTAAGAACAGATAAACAACAGAAAAAGTGATAAGTGATGCAAATATGACCTTTCAAAACTCTACAGTTAGAACTTGAAGACTCTTATATCAAAGTGATATTTAGTAGTGGACATAGTGATGTGGAGTGTACTTGAGAAATATTGAACTTTCGACCTCTTCCTTCTTTTAGTTACATTCCATGGAATACTTTTAATTAATGAAAGTGAAAGTGGCAAAGAATATATTGTGATACATTTTAGGAGGAAAAAAGTATTTGACCATACATGGTGAAATTAATTGTGTCGTATAATCTGGGAAATAAAAATTACAGAATTTAATTAATTTTGTAAGACATTTGTATTGAGGAACAATTGTGTCATTGATATTTCAAGAAACAGCTTTGTATCAACGTTGAACCAACGTAATAACTATATTTTGAACTGAGGTCCAATGTAGGGCCAACGTTACAAAATATTTGGTTAGCATCGGTACGTTGGAATAGCGTTGTACCAACGTTGGCATTTCAACAAAAGCGTTGTACCAACGTTGGACCAACGTCGGACCAACGTCATGATTATATTTTGAACTGAGGTCCAACGTTGGGCCAACGTTAAAAAAATATTGCGTTGGCGTTGGTATGTTGGAATAACGTTGTACCAACGTTGACAAATGAACAAACAGTATTGTACCAACATTGGCCCAACATGTTGGGCCAACGGCGCGCCAATGAGCAGTAAGACATTGGGCCAACGTAAAACTGCCAACATTGGCCCAACATAACCGACATTGTTGGGCCAACGTTGGGCCAATGTCCTCATGCTATCTGAGTGATACCATGCTTGTATATATTTGTATATTCTTGCCTGTCGACAAAAACAAACACAGGTTAAACCACAGGTAATACCCGACGACTTCCTGTGTATACTATTTGTGTATAGTGCCAAGCGCTCTGCAGAACTTGCACGGCCAACATCGCCTCGGGGTAACAGGTAACTAATATTTAACTCCTCCCCTTACCTGAGAAAACCGTACGGTTAAAAATCTCGGCCTTTAAATAGTTGATTTTTTTTTATTTCTTCAGGTTATTGTTTATTTCTTCCTCAAATGAACTTAACTTCTCCCATAGCTTTATTCATTACATCTGATGCATAA